CGAACTATATAAAAACTCCATTTTATTTTGATGAAATAAATCGATAACTGTTCGCTATTGACGATGATACTTGATAAGAAATTTTCAAACTCGATCGATAACTGTTCGAACTATATAAAAACTCCATTTTATTTTGATGAAATAAATCGATAACTGTTCGCTATTGACGATGATACTTGATAAGAAATTTTCAAACTCGATCGATAACTGTTCGAACTATATAAAAACTCCATTTTATTTTGATGAAATAAATCGATAACTGTTCGCTATTGACGATGATACTTTATACGAAATTTTCAAACAAACTCGATCGATAACAGTCCGCTAAAGATAAACTTCCAGAACGTGGGGCGACACGAAAAAGCCCATACCTTCAATCCTTGTATTCCTGGCTTCGTCTGTCGTTTGCAGTACCGACACACTGTCGGGGACTTGTCGGCACATGTCGTTAAATCGATCGGTCGGTCATCGTTGGTGGTACTGCAAGCATCCTGTCAAAAAAATAATTTTATATGTGAAGAAAAACATATTTTTCCACATATTACTTTCCTAAATACCAACATAAAGAATGTTTTAGCAGCAAACGGTATAGCTCTTTAAGGTTAGAAGAAAGAGGATACATACTTCCTCCACCAGATTCACCCACCCCCACTTCTCAGGATCCATCCTTGAAAGTGGATTAAGATCATTCTAAGAAAAAGGGCCGTATTTGAGTTGACAGTTGCAATCACAACCATATTATTTTCAATCAAAGAAGGGAAAACAAAAAAAAACTAAAAGTCATAACAATATAAGYTGCAAATCGGTCGCCATTTTGAGTCTGCACTCACGGATGTGAGCTTGAAGCAGTCAGTCTGCTAATCTATTGAAGAATTTCATAAATTTTTATGTTCTTGCGAAATATCAGAAAATCTTACGTTCTAAGGCTCTTCAATCAACACAGTTTACCACACACAAGGAGATTCACATCTCACGACGTATTCTGATGGCCAATGTCCATTGGAACATTGGAACGACTATAAGTAGTGTATAAAGAACGAAAGAGTGTGTTTTATCGGGTGATAAAGATCCGAGCCGAAGGCGAGGTCTTTAGTCCCGATAAAACACACTCTTGAGTTCTTTATACTACTTATCAAACTTAAATAATTCATAATTCTAATAATTGTAAATATTAAAGTTATTGCTGTCTATATGTTTTTCGGCTTGTTGTTTATCTCCGTAGCCTTATTCCACATCGGTTCCTGATTGACAATACTTTGTTTTGATTAGTTAAAGAATAGTTCGTTATACCATGCATTCAAACTATTCACCCTACATTGAACAAAAGCTTAATGAATGACTTCAAAGTGTATTATCAGCTATATAATATAGGGTACTTAGTGTGGCTGCAATGCATTGTCTATTTGTCATTGTTTTGTACAAGATATGGTATTATAATAAACTATCAAGGGAATTTCATCTTATTAACTATTCAAGGTACCAAAAATTTAATTCAGTTTGGCGAAACATGAGTCTGTTTAGAAAKCCAAAATCTAAAGAAGAAGAACACGCTTGTGTAAGCTCGAGCGTTCCAAAAAATACACGGTATGCGACGAATTGGGCTATCACTCGGTTTTGCGACTGGCAAAAGACCCGAAGCAACAAAAAAGCTGAATTCGAAACTACAAGTTTCATATTTGCCGCGGATATAAAGTCATTGCAAGATGCAGATACAAACCTGGACGAAATGCAGGCAGAATCACTGAATTTCTCGATGATTAAATTCTTACAAGAAGAGGTTGCCAAAAAAATGGAGAATTGTACCCGCCAAAGACATTACACAGCATCGTATGTGGCGGCTTTGAATATTTTCAGGGGAGTGCGGGGCTGATAAAGTACTAATGAATAAAATATTAGGACTTTATCGCT